AGCTACTGCTGGCGTATGTTTCGTTGCCTGGCAACCTATCTTTACCTAAACCAACATGTATTATATGTTCAAAAAACATGGTGAAAATTATGATGTATGCATAGATGGTGTTTTACTTTCATCTTATATTTATTTGATGGAGTAAAACCTGATTTTGTTTTGTGTTTTTGATGACCAAATGTGTAGGTTACATTTGTCTGGGTCAAATCATGATGATGTAGTGGTATTTTTTCGGGCTTACTTGAGACAACATGTTGTTTTCAATACATTAGATTAAGTTTAACTGATTATATGGAGCTAATAATATTTCTTGTGTAAGCCTTGATTCAGTCAAAATATAATTACATTTATCTATGTGCTGGGATTTTCTTATTAGCCGACAAAAATGTAGTCTCACACACAAATCTTATGAACAGAGCACGCACTCTGCACATTTAATATACATGCAAGTTGCATCGATTGTCTGCAGTTTTCATTATTATGCGGTTTTGAAATTACTTTCGAAAAGATAAAGTAGGTAAATACTTTATATATTAAGAATACATGGTTCCACGACAACATTGTGACACACCCACATCTCCCCCAACATTTCTTCTCTCTAGGCATCTATCATTTTCTACATCTTACTATGTGACCATTGCATGGTCTAGGTCGACTGCCTGCCTGCCTGCTTGCTTGCTTGCTTGCTTAGTTCACCTGTTTTCTACTAGTTTAATGTCAACATGATCTTGGCAACTATCCAAAATCTTAAATTATCAAAATGGCTGACACTGGTGTCTGCTTTGGCACAGGGTATTTGGAGGATCTGTTGGGGTGAAGGCAAACCAAGGTTAAATTGTAGTGAAATGTGGATGTCAGGGGAACACAGTGGGTAAATCTATATCAGTTATTATTCGTATTGGAATGAGACGTGATTCAATGTTGACTGTTAATTGTATTTTATCTTGGTGTCTGACTGAAGCTCTTTTTTGTCGGTTCGAAGATTAATATGAGCTATATTGAACACAGTGTCTGGGGCAAGACATAAATTATTGTTATTTGGTTTTGAGGTTCCGTATGGGTGAAACTGTCTGCCGGTTAACTACGGTAATAGACATAGGTATTTTAGGTAGGGTAATTTACTGTACATATTTAGTCTACACATGTATGTTCATTTTGTATGGTGGTGTCAGTTATTGTTATAAGTAAGTAAGTATATTTGAACTGTTACTTTATCTATGTAGTTATGATCCTAATGTCGAAGAATGTTGAACAATGTAATTTATATAGACTTCTATATTTTTTTTAAATGTCTTATCTCTTGACACACATGAACATGATTTGGAGGTTTTCTTTCACAAAGAAATGAACTGAGATTTGTGTATTGAAATTATGTTTTATTTTTGTGTGAAGTATTTAATTTTGAATGTTAGTTTTAAATACAGTCAATATATCTAACATAAAGCATAGAAATTGAGAAAGAGTGCTACTTGGTGTTTGATACCATAAATGATCATCTGAGGCAAAGATCTAGAAATGATTTGCCAAAATTATTTAATTTAATAAAACATGTAGGTCTCTCTTTCCTTTCACCATATACATGTATTTTTTTATAAATAGTTGAATTAAATATAAGAAAAGTAAAAAATATATATATATATATCCCCAAGAGAGGAATTTGAATGAAATATATACTACATATGCCACATGCTAACAACTGTTAATGTGGTGAGGTTAAAATTGTTTTTAACTTGTTGAAGTAATCATACTTAAGTTATGAGTTAGTGTTATATTTAGAGCATGTAGCACTCTATTCATGAACTATAGGAAGGAATACTGACATTGATGTACTCAAGTAATAATATATGTAGTCCTGATAGGTTTTCAACTTTTAAACAAAGAAATGTTAAAATGAAGGGTGGTTTTAATGGGGAAGAGGTCGTCTGGGGGGAAGTGCCAAATTTCCTCAAAATTATTGTGAAGATTGTCAGATGTGCCTACTGAGATAAAGTAGGTGGGCATTTTGGTTTAATGTTTTTAAGTTCAACCAGGTCAAAGTTATGCAGAAAAGGGACATATGTTTTTAGAAAAATAAAAATTGAAATGAAATGGGGTTAAACTTACTACTTTGCTGCATCAACTGGGCTAATGATGCAAAAATAAAAATTGGGAGCTATTGAGTAGTGCTTTAAATTAGAAGAGCTTGATATTTATCACAAGTTATTGTTTTCATTCCTGTCAACACCCATCTCATTTTGTGATAATTTCAATTTTGATTGGCTCATTGTTTGCACCTGAGGTTTTACGGGCCAAATGGTTAGCACAAGCGCTGTATCATAAGGTCTGTTATTGAGTCAACTGGTGTGGTTTCGATTCCCCGGATGTACGTGACAAGGAGTAGGGTCGCCTGTCCAACCTTGTGGGTTTTCTCCTGGTCCTCTGGTTTCCTCCCACTGCTTAAAGACCCCTACGCGCCAGCAAATTATTGAAATAAAATTAAACCATGTGTTAGTCCCAAAATGACCTAGTTTGTGCCGTGTGGACGTGTTAAACCCCATTTCTTTCGCTCTCTGTTTGAAGCTAAATCCCTTCCTTCCAAATTGCCCCCCCCCTCTCTCTCTCTCTCTCTCTCTCTCTCTCTCTCTCTCTAGATCAGATTATTTGGATTTTCTGCCAAACTTGCTGGGTTATTTTCGACTAGAATATCACATTTTAGCTTTGTTATATTTTATACCTAGAAGTAAAACTGTATTGGCGCTGAAAGATGTTTGTATCAGTACATGTATTTTATATAATTGTCCTAGCTTGCAGACAAAAGTATCATAAAGTATCTTGTTTGATAAGTAATTATGAGTTATAGCTTTCAGAACAGAGTGGAATTATTACAGCTCCTTCATTACCATATCAATTTTGAGTGTGGACACACACTGTTTGCCTAATGATCCAGTAATTATAGTCTAGTACTGATTCAACATATTTACATCGTTTAATGGGGGTTGGGTGGTCAAGTTTGCGCTTTAGATCATAAGGTCTGCCATTAAGTCGAGTTGTGTGGTTTTGATCCCTGGTGGGTTTTCTCTGCGTCCTCCTAGTAGTTGAATGTAGTCATTATATTTTTCTTGTAATGGCCATGTAATGTGTAATGGAAGATTTCATAAGCAATTTACATGCCATAAATAATGTAATGGTTTATTACATTTCAGTTACTTATCACAAACGTGTTTGAAGCTATTATTTGTTTGAATATACGCACCACGGTAATACCTGTGGACGAGCTATGAGGGTGGTGGGTGTAGCTCATTACTGATGGGCAGTATTCTGGTGAAGGCGGTCACTGTTCATTAAAAGTCCAATTCGAAATCTGTTTCAATATTCCTTTATATAAAGTTATATATGTATTATATACAAGTTCATATCAAAGGGCTAATAAATGTCTTAACCCTATCTCTTATCTCTCATCTCATCTGATCTCATGTGATCCCCTTATCTGTGTAGGAGTCTTTTAAAGAAACTAATTTGCATACAGACCAAAGGACAATCATTTCAACAAATCAGATTAAAGATACAATTAGGGATAAAAATGAAAGAAGTTAAATTAATATATAAATTTCATTGGTTAAAGTTTTATATTTAAATATAATTAATAGAATCAGTTAATAAGCTTTAAGCCATATATAAAGTAAAAGCATTGTCACTTGATTGGCACTGATCTGAAGGTAATGTTAATTCTATAACCCTTGCTTGAGGTGTCTCTTAATAGCCTATTGGCACCCAAAGATTATAACAGTACAGTCAAGACCATTCTTGCTTAAGGCAATAGCTTTAAGAGCTATAAATCAAAATATTATCATATTAAATAAATGATAGACTGATAATATTAAACTGAGTCATATTGTCTGTATATATGAATTAGAATTAAGAAATAAATTATGCATTCTTTAAATAAAATTTGAAAGAGAAATTAAAATTAGTATCACTATTCCGTGATATACTTTTAAATTACATTTTATGGCACATATCTATATATTTCCAACAATGACAAGCCTGAAATTAGGAGGCCCTTCACTATATACTGCTAAAGACCAATACGGCAAGCAAATTGGTGAACTAAAATTATATCGAAATGACCTAGTTGTGTCAAATGGATGTTAAATCAAATCTCTATCTCTTGAACACTGTATACTTCAGATAAATAGTTAAAAGTTCTCAAAATATTTATGAAAATATCCAAAACGGAGTGTCTGGAGCCTTTTGTTACATAAATAAAGAAACCTATTTTTACGTATTGATTTGTCTAGAAATATATAAACAATAATCATGGCTCGTTTACGGAAATTACCGTCTGTCTGCATTTTCACAAAATATGTTTATAATTATCTCACATAACATTGAAATGTTTCAGTATATTCTGGTAGTCAATTTGTCAAATAGATGTTTTAAGCCTGATGCTTATATTTTCTCATTATTTTTTTATGGGTATGTTCTTGCTGTATGGATATCAATTTACATAAACTTTAGTATTGTTAGTTTGAACATTTATGTCCAATAAAAGTCATGACCAAACCAATTTAATTATATTTATAATACAGTGTAATGTTTGGTTTATCATTGTTAAAAGCTTGAATAATTATTATTTTGGGTTTACTGTAACTATTTCTGCCATTTGTTTTAGGCATCATTCTTATTTATGCAGAACAATTTTACGAAACGTTTATGTTTGAACAATTTGAGATATCATTATTTTACCACTGCTTATCATTTCTATTAATAAGTGCAGGAGGACTGCACCACACACAAACAAAACCCATAGACCATCAAAAATGCTATGTTGACAGTTGATAATTCCATTGATACTGAAGAAAATGTATTTAATTTTTATGTAATTATTTCATTTGAGTAGATTTTGGGTCTGATCAGATGAGATCAAATAGTAAGAACACTGGTCTGTATTTGCTTGAATTTCTTTTATATTTCAAGACTATCAATCATGACTAACAAATTTTATCAAATTTCATTTTCAGGATCATTTGATTTTGTGAAGATTATTGTGATAGTGGTTTGTACCGCCATATTTATTGCATTAGGCGTAGTTTTTTGCCTAGTGATGAGAACTCAGTGCAAGATGGTATCTAGGGCCTGGCAACGACACAGCTCAAGAGAAGATCAGCTTCGCCCCCAGTCTCAGAGTTCAGAGGTAAAGTACATACATTCAGTATTCTAAGATTACTTATAGTAGAAAATTATGACATGCATGAAAATAGTGTGAGAATTATATCTGACCATATATATTTTGCCTTGGAAGCTCAGTCCAGTCATAACCAGTGTAATTATTTTTGCTGAATAAGATGGTTTTGGAGTCATATATGAGGAATTGAATTTTTTTTTTTTTACAAAAGTAGGATTCCATTGATTTCAAAAGATGATTAGGTTCATCATACTTCCTTTGTCTTTGAAATTGAAAATATTGATATTATGAATGCAGAAATGGTTTTCTATTTTAGGGTTTTGTTTCCACACCATCATCTCGTGAACAGATGGAGCAGCAGGAGGCGTTGTTGCGTGATCGTTATGTCCAGATATCTTCTACACAGAGAGACGGAGAACTAGGATATCCCCCACAAATACCCATTTCCCGTGATGGGGAAGAAGGGTATGCAGAAAGTCAAAAACAGTTAGCAAATCAACGTAATTTAGAAAATACAGACTTACAGCAATATTTCCGACCCCCGCCTAATCGAACTATTTTTGATCGTAAACAAACCCCTCCCCCTTATCCCTACACCTCTGCTACTTCGTTAGACACATCCTGTGGTAAACCATCTAATGGTTATTCGTCAGTGATACGCTGTAACAGTATATCTATAAATAGTGCTAAATCAGACTCGTCACACCGATCTAATTCACATTCTCGGACTTCTTCTATCTCTGCACCTATGTCTCCTGCTAGACATCTTCAACGTGACTCTAACAGTTCCCCACGACTTTATTCTGGGGCTACTCCACCTTCACCCCAAGATTTGGCCAATCCAGAGAATGTATATAATAATAATAATAAACAGCTGGATGTATGATACCAAACTATGGCTTTATAAATGTGTTCTAGTGATATGAAACTGTGGCTCAGAAAATATCTGAGTATAATATTGCAGTGACAACAAGGTGGTAAAATGGATGTGAAACTAGGGCTGTTCAAAGCCTGATTATAATGTGATGCGAAACTAAGGCTGGATGTATACATGTGTTTTAGATTGTGATAAAAAGTGTTCTTTCACGAAAACCCCCCAGCAGTTACTATGTTAGACAAATTATATCTGTGTTCTTGGTCTTTGTGAGTTCTAATCCTCTCTGTGCAGACAATTTAGTGTGGAAACCAAATGATATAATTACACACATCAAGTATGATTTTAAACAGCAGATGATAGCTCTGTAATATGTTATTATTGACCTTGACCCCCATTGCTTGACCTCTGCTCAACCTGTGTTGCTATGGTAACCAGCTTTTGTATTATTTTGTGAATAAAACAGAGACTGGTGCCTGGTAACGAGATAAGCATTTCATTAACAACCGAAAGAAACCTTTGTTACACTGCAGATAGATGTGAGAAACGAGAACCCATGTTGATTATAAACGTACTATTAGTAGTTTTTATAGAACTATCACAGTTCAAAGTGCTTCACATAATTCAACGTTCCAGATAAAATAGGGCTTTGGTTTAAAAAACAGATTGCTGCATCTGAGGAATATCTGTGAATAAACCATTCAATACATAATTGATCAAAATATATAGAAACAAATCTTTTAAAGATTTACCTTTTTTTTAAAAAAAAAGACTTCGCAAATTAAATTTTAACGATCGTTTCTTTCTGAGTGTTATGATTCTTAACTTTAATTGACATCAGTAAATGTTCTAACAGGAAAGGGACATATAATATATTATTTACTACTAGAGATACATGTATGATAAATGTGTGACATTAAGGTATGCATGGTTGTGACGTTAAATGTGGAGTGTGTGTGTACGTGCAATTTATTAGATGACATATATAAATATATATCTATATTATGCGAGTGTGTGTAGAAATGGTACAAGAAATCAAAGAACCAGTCATCTTTACGATGCGTATTTGTGATGAAGACGGTGTAATACGAGAATATCATCATGGTTTACATTTAAAATATATATCTTTCATAGATATAGAACAGTATACTGTAAAACAAGAAATTAATGCCAAATGAAATTAATGTCTCTTTCAGTTTAAAGTAACAATGTTATTGTCAATTAATTTTTAAAACCCAACCACATCCAGTTAAAAATACCATATTATGACCATCTAGAAATTTTTTATACGCCCAAATTTTCATGTGGGCGTCGTATATTGTCGTCGCACCTGGACATCCGTCCGTCCACAATTTTTTTGTGGACATTCTACAGGTCACAATATTCATCCAATTTTGACGAAACTTGATATCCCAAAGATCTTGGTTCCCTTCAATATTGGCATGTATCCAAAAACAACATCATGGATTATGGTCCCTGATTGTACGAAAAATCATGTTTTTAGCTTGTGGACATTCTTAAGTAGTAACACTTTTTATACAATTTTGATGAAACTTAAAATGTATGATTATAACCCAAAGATCTCGGTTCCTTTTGATATTGGCATAAATTAAACCGTAACTTCCTGGATTATGGCCCCTGATTGTACGAAAAATCACGTTTTTAGCTTGTGGACCCTCTAGTGGTCACATTTTTATCCGATTTATAAAATCATTTAAATGTATAACCGTTATAGTACACCTTAATGACAGTTGAGTTCGAATTTTGTGAAAATCGGACCGACACTGCCTGAAAAAATGTCCGCTCCCCATACGCAAAAATATGTCTAGAGGGTTAACTAGCAGACGATAAAAGTCAATGTTTATATTTCAACATTATCCGATTTTGATGGTACTTAAAATATATGTTTATATCCCAAAGATCTTGATTCCTTTCCATATTCGTGGATATCAGACCATAAACTCCTGGATTATTGCCCTTGATTGTATGAAAATCATGTTTTTAGCTTATTGACCCTCTGGAGGTCAAAAGTTTTAGCCCTTTTAAAAGAACCTTTTATATATATCACCGTTGCATCCTAGTGACAGTTGAGTTCGTGAAAATCAGACCGAAACTGCCTGACAAAATAACCCCTCCCTGTATGCAATAGTGTAAAAGGTTGTGGAACCTCTTAGAGGTCACATTTGTATCTGATTTCTATCCCAAAGATTGGGTTCCTTTCGAAATAAACGCATATCTGATCATAACTTCCTGTATTATTGCCCCTGATTGTCCGAAAAATGTCCTTTTGTTTTTAGCTTGTTCTCTGTTCATCTCTTGCAAAATGTGGGCATATCTTGCATGCCAACTGCTTGTTAATCTAACAAACCGCCAGATTTCTCATAACAAACTTTGGAAACTCTAATTCTTAAATTGTTTGGGAACCTGTATTATTATAGAGAGATAAACAATGAGCAGAACAGTAGGACGTTAAACCCTATTTAATTTCGATAATATTGTTAGTACTGGAGTTTAAACTGTTAAAATTTCTAAACTGATATGCATATTAAATTATTAGTATGATTAAATGCTGATTAAACATACATTATGCAAGAGCTAAATCTGCCAATTGCAGGTCTTTCTTTAGGCCTGAAATGTTATCTAAATTTTTACAAGTAATTAGACATTAATTAACTTATCCAGACCTTAATTAACTCTCGATGGCATCGCTAGCCTGCGATATTTACTGGATTATGATCCCATTTGATGCTCGACTTCCATTCATAATTTAATCATGAAATGGATGATCAAGACTGCTTTTATCGTACAGACTTTAGTAATGATGGTCGAGGCTAGGCCGAAATTTCAATCGCTTAATTCTCGGTTTCAATAAGACCAAAACTATTATAGTGAGAACTGCCAGCTCTTTATCTAATCTCCCATAATGTATCTTTAATGACAAAAAAATTTTGTGGCTTGCATAAATAATTGCTACTTTAAGTTAATACAACCCTTGTTATCTTTGTAAATGATTGTTTTTAGCCAGTTGGCTACATGCAACTTTAACTATAGAATTGGCATAAGTTAAAGCTACTCATCGTCATTTCGTCACTCGTCAGTGGGGAGTGAAAAGGTCATATCTGGCGTATTTTGTGAAATTCGCTATTTTGCTTCTTCAAAATGAGAATTTTCTTGTGCATCTTTTCATTTAGTTGACATATTTCTGAGCCAATAAAAAGGGTTCTTTTAGATATTGTTTCAAAATGTTGAATAATATCAATAATAGTAAAAATGTCATATTTCCTTGAAATAATCAACTTTGTATCATACCAAAGCATTACAATCAAGCGAAATATAGCCAGTATTGTTTTTATGGTTAGCTACATATTATTGAGATTAATGTTTAGCCACCACTGTGTGAAATCTATGAAATTGAAGCAGGTAAAGGTTAATTTATTCACAAGGTACGTCTTTGCTGTATAAATTGGCAAATAACTAGCTTTCACTCCTTATTTCTGCACTAGATGTTTAGCCCGATATGTGAAGTTAGCTACATACTGTTTAAAAGGCTACACATACTTTTTTTTACAGAAATATTTGGGAAAATCTTTGGGAATATGTCTTTTTACTACATACAACATTTTTATGTGAAAATTCGGTACCACATTTTGATTCTTGACCTTTATGTGATTTTTGGTGCTCATAGACAATTTCGCAAAACTTGGATACAACCTTTTTGCTCCCCACCGATGATTTTTCTTTTCTAGGACAGTATCTAATTTTACACAGCTTAATCCATGATAAACTGTTCCACATTCAATTTAAAAAGAATAACAATGGTAAATCATCTCTTGACTTGGAATCAGTCAAATTAAAAATATCAAGTTGATATCGTCTTCAGAGAATGTTGACATATTTTCAATTTATCATATCTTTGTAATTACGGAACGGAATTAAACCATTTTTTACTGCCTTAGAGAAATTCAAATTCATAATATTGTAGCTTGCAAGGAATGGAAAATCACTCAAATGATGATCAGAGGCTTTATTTTAATACAAAGGACACTGATTATTTATTTAAAAAAAAAAGAAATTAATTACTGTTAATTATCTTTATATGCCCACATTTTCATTTGGACATATATTGTCGTCGCCCTGTGTGTCCGTCCGTCCACATTGTGTTTGTGGATACTCTACAGGGTCACAATTTTTACCCGATTTTGACGAAACTTGAAATATAGGTTTATATCCCAAGATCTCGATTCCTTTCGATATTGACATGTATCAGACTTTTAACTTCATGGATTATGGAGTATGGACCCTGATCGTACGTACAATCATGTTTTTAGCTTGTGGACCATCTAGACGTCTTAAATTTTATCCAATTTTAAAAACTGTTTAATTATATCACTGGTACACCATAATGGCAGTATAGTTCGAATTTCGTGAAAATCTGACCGAAACTGCCCGACAAAATGTCCACTCCCCATACGCAAATATTGTAAAAGAAAGTAATATCAAGGTTTTGGACCCTCTAAAGGGTCACAATTTTTATCTGATTGTTTATATCCCAAAGATCTTGGTTCCTTTTTATATAAGTGCATATCGGCTCACAAATTCCTGGATTATCGCCCCTGATTGTACGAAAAATCGTGTCATTAGCTTGTGGACAATTTAGAGGTAAAATTTTTATCCAATTTTGATGAAACTTAAAATGTATATGTTTATATTCCAAAGATCTCAGTTCCTTTTGATATTGATGCATGTTGGACCATAACATCCTGGATTATGACCAATTATTGTATGCTTTTTTAGCCTGTTCTCTGTCCATCTCTTGCAAAATGTGGTGGGTGTATCTTGCATGGCAACCTCTTGTTTTGTTTTGAAGGATGTTATGCTAGGGTAATGTTTTTTTGTTATGTTACAGAAGAGAAATGAATATTGAACTAGATATATCAGTTTCTTGGAGGCATCAATTTCTTTGTTTTAAAAGGATTAATACATGTAGTTAGTTGTACTTGTTTGGAGGCCTATTTTCATACTGGAAACAAATGCATTACAATGTGGTATGTGTTGTGCAAATTGCCAAAATATATACCCGTTATGTTATTGTTTAGAATTACCATAAAATGAAATATTGTGTTCAGTCATAAAGATTAAGAATAATATTTTTACATATTACTCTGGAATTTATAAAGGACCTGACCTGATAATGAGATATTGAATAACAGTTTGGTTATTTAACAGTTCTAGTTCCAAAAGGCAAAAAAAGCTCTGGCCAATTTATAAGCAATTAAGTCAATTAATGCCTGCTTGATGTCACATTTTCTCAGTGGTTGAGAAATTCTTTTGTCCTGGTCTGGAATGATTGAGGTTCCCCAGTAGTCATACACCAGTTAATTTGATTCAAATGACTAAGATTAATCCCATAAGAGAATTGATTAAAAAAAATTGTTCTGGGTTTGTAGTCCACAGTTTACTGGTAATCACTTTATTATTGTACAGGAAAATAAATCTTTCCTTTTTGTCACTTTTTGGTCCATCAACAAACACTCCCAGGTCCCAGTTCTTAACATAACTTCTGAAATATTTGTTGGGATTGCAGACTTGCCAAGTCTCTCATGGAAATCCTGCAAGTCTCAAGAAATATGGATTAACACAGGTGTTTAGAAATCTCACATAATTCATGCCATCACAGACTTGACAAAACTTAATAATGATGCTTGAAAAAATTCTTGTTAAAGAGTCCACAGGGTCGCAACTGGCCAAGTTGGTTGCCTGTAAGCGACGAAACAGTGATGGTGCCAGAAAAAAATTGTTGCTCATAAAGAAAGAGAAGTGACTATTAAAGAGTAGTGCTAGACACTGTTTATTACAAAAATTTAAAATGTTTTAAATTCCAATCCATTAGTCAATTTAAAGAAACTACGATTCCTAAAAAATTGATTAAATAAATTAGCTTGGTGCCAGAAAAATGTCGCACAAAGCAGAGTGGCTCCAGACAAAATGTTTTAATCGATAGTCAATTCAATACAAATTTACGGTAATGAAAGTTATTTTAAATTTATATTATATAAAAGTCAGTGGATTTCAGGCACTTGATTGTGCCCACTAGAAGGCAAACTTTTATCTATGAAATTCATTCATTCATTACTGTTAACTTTATAAAGAATACACTAGTGCTATATTTAAACAAAAAGTGCTCCTTAATCCAACCAAAACATTTAACCTATTCTAGTCATAGATAACATTAACAAAGTAATGTAAATCCAAAGAAAAACAATCCATAGAATTATTATTTTATTTAGTAGATCAGATACATCTAATACACAATAGGCAAAGATTGATACAATGTTATTATAAGTGTTTGTCTTCCACTTCTCTTATGGGATTCTTCAAAACATCTGTGGACGTATATTGTCGTCTCTTGTCTCGCTGTCTGTGCGTCCACAATTTGTGAACACTTAATTGGCCACAATTTTTATCTTGGTTCATTTCAATATTGGCATGTATCGGACCGTTACTTCATGGATTATGGCCCCTGTTTGTACGAATAATCATGTTGTTAGCTTGTGGACACTCTAGACCTCACAATTTTGATGAAACTTAAAATGTATGTTTATAACCCACAAGATCTTAGTTCTTTCCAATTTTAGTGCAATCTGATTAAAATACAGATCTATATTTCGTTTCATTTTTTTATACTTTCAATGGCCTACACTACATGAAGATCTGACCAGTTGTAATGATAGGTCGTGTCAGAGGTCATACAAGCAGCTTTTGACCCTATGATGTCAGACATTTGATTAACCAATCAGCATTGATGTTACTAGTGGATTACCCACAGTTCCGTGCAAAACACACCTAAAGATCGCCGTAACAGACCGTTTCATTGGCTAAGCCCTTACCCCATTCAGAACACATCAATGATAACTCTTCCAGATCCTAGTGTAGTAAAGACAAGTAAAACGAAATTTTGAACTATAACAAAGAAACGAAATAGGAGCAGTGTTTTAATCAGATTGATTTTAGTGCATATTGGATCATAACTTCCTACATAATGGTCCCTGAAGGTACGAAAAATCATGTTTTTAGCTTGTGGCCCCTCTAGAGGTTACAATTTTTATCCAATTGTAAAAAACATTCAAATATAGCACCTTTACACTCTAATGACAGAGAGTTCGAATTTTGTAAAAATCGGACCAAAACTGCTCGCCAAAATGGCCGCTTCTCATACACAAATAGTGTAAAAGTATGTAATACCAAGGTTGTGGATCACATTTTATTTCCGATTTTGATGAAGCTTAAAATGTATTTTTATATCCCAAAGATTTCGGTTCCTTTCAATATAAACTTCCTGGAATATGACCCCTAATCGCTTTTTTTTAAAAATTTGTTCTCTGTCCATCTCTTGCAAAATGTGGGCGTATCTTGCTTGGCAACCGCTTGTGGATTAGAAATGTATTCATGACTAAGAAATACAGAATTATAGACTAAAAGTAATTCATTCTGTTATTTGAAAATATAGCTGTATAAGTTTTGAAACTGGTTGTCAAGGCTCATAATTTGCATGTGCATAAGTAATGCTTGCTCACTGAATCTGAACTAGACTGTTTGCCATGAGTTTTGGCTCAGTTCAATTCTTTTCTGAAATGTAATTTTTGGGCTACATAATTTACAATTATTGCAGGCAATAGTTTTTTTGTTTTACTACATTATGTATATGCTATTTGAATATGTTATGGTATGGGCCTTCAACGATCTACAATTAATGTAAAATGGAATGGAAATATTGATGAATTTGAGAATGGTTATAACCTGGCTAATGATGTTCATGTCAATTCTTCTAGATTTATGAATTGGTTATCAGCGCACAATTATTACATCATTATTTTGTATGTATGTCATTACTTACATGTATTCATGTTTCATTGAGCAGAAAATTTGCAGTTTGTGAGTTTGGGGTAAAAAGGTCATGAATTTAGGCAACGCATTTGCATTTTCTTTGCAAGTGAATTACCCTATCAGATTCCAATGTAAGAAAATGAAATGTTATTTCCGAAGAAAATTGCATCTCTTTGAAAAAGAATTTGCAAAGATAGAAACATTGATATGTAACTGTATTTATATTTTTAAACTACATGTAGAAATGGAGGTTTGTTATTAAAGGATTTGGAATGAATCTGAATGAATTTTAGAATATATTATGAAAAATGAATGTAGGGCCTAGCCCAGGTACAGACAAAAAAGCAGAAATAATGCACTTTTTTTTTGATTTTTTTAAATGAATTACCATGAAATGGTAATGTGATAGTGATGTCCCTTTGTTAGATCTTTTGTTATGTATGGTATAAATGTATCTGTTCATCAGTTGTCAGATTTAAATAAATTTTACAAAATTAGAAAAAAAAAAGTACAAGAAAAATGTAGGTTGTTTGTTACTTGAAATTTGTTGTTTTGAAAGATTATTAATAAGAATAATTATCTCAATCATGTCTGAAAATTATATATTTATATTTTTTCAGAATTGTTTTGAAAGATTCTTAAGAAAATTATTAATATACTGTGAAGAATGTTTTTTTTTTTTTTTAATTTAATAAGATTTCTGATATATCTGTATATGAATATATATGAATCTATAATTGTGTGAATGAGTGCTTGGCAAATATCAGAAGTTAATAATAATTGTGAGAAATAAATTACAAATCTGAGTGAAAAGTTACAAAAAATTAGAGAGAAAAAGTCTCTCTCAATCTATATTGTTTTTTTTCTGCTCCAATATCTGTGTTGTGAGCTGTTAGATAAAATAAAATATATGAAATTTTAATGTAGTTATTTTTTTTTCCTGTCTAATATTTCTCCTGGCCTGTATGCTCATAATTACTTGTACTATTATATAGTATTACCGTAAACATACTAAAACATAGCACACTAGGCTAACTGAGCACACAGAAAAGAGTACGTTAATTTTGCATCAAAAAGTATTCAAAGCAGCTTTGGTGGCGGCAAAATGTTTTTTTATTTCACAGAATCAAGGGATAAATAAACTACTAGACTGCAGAATTTCAGAAGCCTCCTATGTTGGCTTTCTATAGATACAAACCATAAACGAACTATAATGTGGGCGAATCGGGTTAGGGTAGGCTCACTCTGCACACAATAACCTCTAGACTAGCTTTGGTGGCTCGAAGATCTTTATTTCACCAAATTGACAGATGCATAAGTTATGAACATGCCACAGTTCTTTGCATTCTTCGTGGCGTGGTTCGTGGGTTCAATAAGCCAAGAGTATTCCAACACTGCATCAAAAAAACACCCAAACCAGCTGTGGTGGCAAACTGTGTTTTATTTCAGAGGGACTGTAAAATTCAAGAAGCCTCCTATGTTGCAATTTCGAGATATATTATCGTAAACTAAAAATGTTGGGAAATCGGGTTAGGGTAGGCTCACTGCACTCGCAGTAACTTCTAAACTAGCTTTGGTGACTCAAAGATCTTTATTTCACCACATCGACATATGCATAAGATATGCACATGCCAAATTTCATTAACTTTCTATGTTGGCTTATCAAGTTATATCATCGCAAAATTCCTAGCACCCCCTATTTGGAACTTGCAGTCTAGTAGTTTATGCATCCCTTGATTCTGTGAAATAAAAAAAAACCCAGCTTGCCACCAAAGCTGGCTTGGATGGTTTTTGGTGCAGTGTGGGTTTACCCTTTGTTTATTGAACCTACGAACCTCGCCTCGAATCCGGGTGCTTGGAACTTTGCGATGAATATGATTTAACTCGATACGCCAAAATAGAAAGTTAATGAAATCATGCCTGATGCATCTGTCAATTTGTTGAAATAAAGATCTTCAAGCCACCAAAGCTATATAGTTGAAAAGTTATTGTGTGTGCAGTGAGCCTACTCTTACCCCATTTCCCCCATATTTTTATTATGTTTACGGTAACATCTCTCGAAAAGCCAACATAAGAGACTTCTGAAATTTTGCGTTCTAGTAGTTTATTCATCGCTTGATTCTGGATTCTGTGAAATAGAAAAACAGCTTGCTACCAAAGCTGGTTTGGGTGCAGTGTGGGCGTACCCTTTGTTTATTGAACCCACAAACCTCGCCTCGAATTCTGAAGCTAGGAACTTTGCGATAATATAGCTTGATACGCCAACATAGAAATTTAATAAAATTGGGCATGTTCATACCTTATGCATCTGTCGATTTGGTGACAAAAACATCTGCGAGCCACCAAAGCTGGTTTGGAAGTTATTGTGTGCGCAGTGAGCCTATCCTGACTTGATCCTCCATATTTTTAGTAGTGTGTGTACGGTAATATACAATGTGAAATGAAATGAAATGAAATGGGGTTTAACCTCCTACTGTTCTGCTCCTAACCTGGGCTAATGAAGACGGGCATACACCATACAGTGTGCTATGAGGGAAATTTTGCCCGGACAGCGGCACTACGGCCTACTCTTATATCGAATTCCAACTGCAAAGGGATCTTTTACGTGCACGCTAATGTGTACACGGGACCTCGGTTTTTCATCCCATCCGAATGACTAGACAGCTTTCCTTGTCAGTCCCTCCGTCCTGCATCACTGACAAGGGAGAACCCATGAGGCTTCTGGAATTTTGCAGGCTAGTAGTTTATTTATCTCTTGATTCTGTGCAATTAAAAATAATTTGCCATCGGAGCAGGTTTGATTACTTTTTGATGCAAAATTGGCGCACCCTTTTCTGCATGGTCAGTTAGCCCAGTGTGCGAAATTTTAGTATGTTTACAGGAATACTTTTTTTTTCTTTTTTTTTGTTTGTCAATTATATATACTTTGCATTAATATGTCTTAAAATGTTATTTTCTAACATAAAGGTAACAAAATTTTCGTGATAATTATAGGTTTTTATTGGCGCTAGGAATATGTTTGCTAACTTCATTTCGAATCCGGGTGCTGGAATACAATTACAATTTATTTAAATTCTAATTTGTTTAATTGAGGGGGCGGGGGGCTGCCAATAAGACATGAATTTGGAATTTAGAATGACACTTCTGGGCTTTCGTAAATACGGGTGAGAGAAAGGCGTCACGTGTTCCTAATGATATTATTTATAGTTTTATGGCCTACGTGCAATTATGTGGGCTTGGGATTTTAAACCTATTCAAATAGTTTGATTTTCAATTTTTTCCCCTGTTGATAACAAGAAATATGACGCTTTATTTCTTTTCTTCCAATGACTGAGTTTTCATATAAATAAGGACAAAATTTCAGATACCCTGAAAATATTCACTGATAAAATCTTGCAAAAAAAATGAGCTGATATAAATAACGATCATGCAGATAAAATTATTCAGCTTCAAAACACCTTTTATGTGTATATACTCGTCAAAAAAAGTGGGGGATATTGAAAAGCAAATACCTATGCAGTTTGTGATATGATAAATAGTCATGGATACTTGACATGCTTGGAGAGTATGTTCACAGAACTTATCGCCCCAACAGAACCACTGAGCTGCACATGCGACACCCAATAGCGCCATGCACGTGGGAGGGGTTCATTGTCAAATTTAACACTTCAAGGAAGGGTTGATGAAAACTGCCGCGTGCTGGTTTATCTATCCATGTTTGCTTTCCTATCGGTTCTTGCATAAGATTTACTGTTTAGTGTATCTTTGCTTTAGTGTGTTACGTTTAATTTGATCGGGAGACGTGTTCGTCGACGTCAACGTCAACCGACAACACTGCAAGAATTGGCCGTTGCACTGCAAGAAGAGTGGGTCAGATTGCCCTAAATCGTGATTGGACGGTGGATTAGGAGCATGCCACGGCGAATTGCTGAATGTCAGAGGATTGGTGGAGCAATTACTCATTATTAAGACAACAATCAACGTCCATTTTCACTTTTGACGGTGTGTCTCTTTGCGAGTGAAATGGGGCCGTCAGATAAGTCGCCCATAAGAACTGTTTATGTTCACGTGTAGGCAATTGGTCTGTTATTAACATACACGGGTTACCTCTAATAAAAACAGCAGAACATTTCCGCAGTTTTGTATTGTTTCTGAATATCCCCTACTTTTTTGACGAGTATATAAGACGGTTTGATCTATTTTATAAGGCCAACTTCTAGTTTGGCCAAAGGTCACGAGATGTTCTAATGTAAACCGGGCTAACGCTAATCCCAGGGGTGTGGTCACCCATGATTTTGCATGAGGAACAAGATCCCGTCCGGGTCCCCAAAAAAACAATATTTATATTTGTGTGCGGGTTGGGGTGGCAGTCCCTCCCAGTGTCATCGGGTAATATTGGGCTGTGTTTGACACGGATTGAGAATTATGATTATAATCTTGAAAACCGCATTGACACCGCGTGATTTTTTGCCATTTGCGACTGGGCGCAGAAGGTTCTAGGGACCCTCGCGCATAGCATACGTTGAGGAAGCCATATTACAAGGGAGGTAACTTCAGTTTCCAACCTTCATATACAGACAGACAACCTAATGTTCTGCTAGTGATTTGATTTGCCTCTTTGCTCGGTTCCAACGTTTTCCCAAATTTTCTTTGATCTGAATGCTGCCATCACAGATGGAGTAACGCAACTGGTCATGTCTGTATCAGGTTGAACATGGAAATTATGTGACTAGTGGTTCACAAGCCTGGAAATAAAGCGCATATCACAGACATTGTTTTAGTTGATATTGAGAGAGAGAGAGAGAGAGAGGGTGTGTGTGTGTGTTAATGTCCACTCGACACAAACTAGGTCATTTCAGGACTAACACATGGTTCAATTTTATTTCAACAATTCGCTTGCACGTAGGGGTCTTTAGCAGCGGGAGGAAACTAGAGGTCCCAGAGAAAACCCATGAGGTTGGACAGGCGACCCTACTCCTTGTCACGTACAATCGGGCAATCGAAATCACGCCAGTTGACTCGATGAAAGATCTTATGATACAACATGCACATGTTAACCATTCAGCCATCCACCCCCCCTGTTGATATTTATAATAATGTTCATCTCCTGTGCAAAGTTTCAATGTCTGATGTTAGTTCAGTAATGCCCAACATTTTGTCAAGATACACAAGTAATTGATATTTCCAGGGCGGCAGGTTGTGCACGTAAAAGATCCCTTGACATTTGGAATTCAATATAAGAGTAGGCAGTAGAGAGAGAGAAAGAGAGAGAGAGAGAGAGATGGGGTTTAACGTCCACTCGACACAAACTAGGTCATTTCGGGACAAACATATGGTTTTAATTTTATTTACATAATTCGCTTGCGCGTAGGGGTCTTTAGCAGTGGGAGGAAACCGGAGAAAACCCACGAGGTTGGACAGGCGACCCTACTCCTTGTCACGTACAACCGAGTAGGCAGTAGTGCCGCTGTTCGGGCAAAATTTCCCTCATAGCACATTGTATGGCGTATGCCCGTCTTCATTGGCCCAGTCCGTGGCAGAACAGTAGGAATTTAAACCCCATTTCATTTCATTTCAATAAATTCTGATCACCAAGGGAATGCTTGATTGTCAGTCAAGAATGTCCCGAATTGACAGAATTACAATCGAGTGAAGTGGAATTCAATCCTGACAACAGAGGTGGTGTGAGTAAAATGGTGACGTAATTAAACACAACCAATATTGTTAAGCTGTCATGATTGGTTGAGATATTTTCTTATGCAGTCGGGGCATGCATTGTAGCCCGAAATCCCCTTTTTCACTCGATTGACTATTTTGGGGATTGAGAGAATACAATTCAGGAATGTTCAATCGAGTATCCCTGTCTTCATTAGCCCAGCAAAGAGCAGAACGGTAGGACGTTAAACCCCATTTCATTTCAATCGAGTATCCCCCATGTGTTTGGAATACAAATAACCTTTTTCTTTTACTTGATTTATGTAATGACAGCTGTCCATAATGGTGAGTGAACACTTGATATCACTTCTCACTCATTAATTTATGTGGGAAGTTCACAGAGATAAAATATTAGATCCCATTTTGATTTATCATGACATAAGATGTTTATTTATGTGAGGAGAAGTTCACACAGATAATAATGGATCTCATTTTGATTTATCATGATGTAAGATGTTTATTTTATCTATTATACATAACAAACACAATCAAATCTTATATCAAATATTTTATTATGTACCAAATTTTTTCTGTTTCAGTGTTGCAGGCAGGTTATTCAAAATTGCGAGAGGAGTTCGTTCGACAATCAACATCCAATCATCTTCTAGTAATTCTACATACACTAAAAACTAAAAATAAAAAAGCAAGAAACAAATCCACACATTGTATTTTAAAAATATATATATATATATATGTATCAGAAAATTTCAACTGGTGTATTTCTTATTTAAAATCTCAATTCCCAAATTCCCAAACATCCAATCATCTTCTAGTAATTCTACATACACTAAAAACTAAAAATAAAAAAGCAAGAAACAAATCCACACATTGTATTTTAAAAATATATATATATATATATATGTATGTATCAGAAAATTTCAACTGGTGTATTTCTTATTTAAAATCTCAATTCCCAAACGAAAAAATTGCAGCACAAGTTTCCTTTTAATTGCATCAATGAGTCCCAGAAATTATGGTGTGAATTTTTTTGTAGGAATAGAAGTTCTGATTCAACTTGATTACCAAGAGAAAGACACACACAAACTAGGTCATATAGGGACTAACATGGTTCATTTTATTTCAATAATTTGCTTGAGCTTAGGGGTCTTTCGCAGCCGGAGTAAATTGGATGACCCATGAACTAGCATGGGATCAAAACCACGCCCTTTAATTTCTGAAACCACTTGACCAACTTGATTATAAAATACACAGGTCACTAAAAGTCATTGAAACAATTTATTATAAAAATTACTAAAAGTTATTGTCCGCTTGAAATAACTACCGGAATATGCTTAGGGAAATAACTACCGGAATATGCTTAGTGAAATAAACGATTGAAATCTGTTAATTACGTCCCTTGTTCACTTTGTAGAATCTTGTGGATGGTCTGGAGAAAAAAGTTATTTAATATGTAACTTACATTGTATTTTTTACACTGGTGAAATGCATCTTCTTTTTTGGGTTTGTACCATTTTTCAAATATTCTTTTTTTCTTTTCTGGCATGGTCTGAAAGTAAATGATAGATTTGAAAACAATACAAACCAATCTAAACAATTTCGAAACGTAGTTAGATGTCTATTCACCAATGGATCAGTCACTTTAAAATTCAAACACTTCCACATTCACAAATTATGTATGAAATATATTTCATTTCAAGCTTCTACAAGTTCTAGATGTCATAATAAGTGAACATTAGACATGTTAATACAATAGAAATATTCATAGAAATAATTTGTTTGAAGATTGGGTAACTATCGTGTATTAACTATTATGTAAGAGCTAAATCTGCCTACTGCGAGTCTTTTTTTCTGCCTTCAAATGTTATATAAACTTTTTGATACAGTGCATCAACTGTGTGGAATACGCTTCCAGAAAATATCTGAAATGTGAATCTGTGTCAGTTTTTAAATCCAAAGTGAAAACTTGATTATTTAGTCACTTAACATTAACAATCCAAAGTGAGAACATTTTCTATCACCTAATCCATTTCCTAGTGGATTGAATAGTTGCGCGATACAGATATCATTATTATTATTATTATTTTTATTTAGACATTTATTCATATGAAAAAACTATTAATTAACTTACATACTTGAACAATAACTAAAATACTGTAATTATGCTTGGTCTATACAATTTTTTCATATGACAAGACTAACTTACATACTTGTCCCATAACTAAAATACTCTATTATTACACTACCCACAAGTAACTATATTAATATAAGCCTACTTGGCTTATTTTTGTATCCTATTCTTTATGCATTTCAATTGTACAATACTATCGAAATAAATACTGTTTAAACTATGACAAGTCCACAATCAACGCTAAACACCATCGGTGGGCTGGGATATTAAGTGGATTAAACCATCCACACAATTTAATCGGTGAAGCGGGTTAACGTTAAAATAGAAAATCAAGACTGTGTTTATTATTGTAGCAATGCCAATCAAATCAAAAGTACGCTATTCTTGTCAAAACTTTAAAGATACATTATGGGAGATTTTTATAGAGAGTTGGACATTCTTGCTATAACAGTTCAAAAGTTGCTGATAAAGGAAGAATATATTGAAAATTTCAGTCAAATTACTTTATTCTGAACATAGTTATCATCGTTGTAATATTTGACTAGAAATGGTAGTGAAATGTGCCTTCACCTTGGCTGATCGTTTGATTGACAGGCGTTAACTCCACCTACATATCTCGATTATCAAGTAAAGTTTCAATGGCATGCGGAAACGCTCTACAGCGGCCTCGCTAAGTACACTCTATCATTTAGCCTCGATTTAACTGACGTATTCTCATCGGGGTGCGCCATATTTGAATTAATTAATAAGTGAAATCCTATTTAAATCCAAGCTGTAGCCGACCATCCGTGGGTCTACAGAGTTGATTTTGGGCTTGTTGTTTAAATAAAGATCTAATTTATATTTTCTATAAGATCTGAAGCCTAAATTAAGACTTGCAATAATCAGATTTTGCTCTTGCATAATGTATGTTTAAACATGCATATCTTTGCTCAGAATAATGTAATTTGACTGAAATTTTTAATATATTTATTTTCCATTATATATATTTGAACTACTATAGCAAGTACGACCAGGTCTTTATCTAAATCTTACATAATGCATCTTTAAAGCCCATAATGTATCTATAACATTTGTAACTTTAGCATGTATTATTTACCTTTGATTTATCTACAATAACAAAAGCCATATTATCCTGGAGAACAAGATGATCATCATTCCTTGGGTCAAAGGTTATTCTACAAACTTTATTCTGTCTTTTAAACCATTGGTTTGGAAAACGACGACTTTCTCTTCGGCTCCATGTCGTATATTCTTTCTTGTCAACATCAAACTCAAATATCTAAAACATTTAAAAAATGATTTTATACACAAACATGGGCGACAACAGATTACTGAAATGTGGGCGTATAAAAATGTTTTAAAACTTTTTTATTGGGTAGTTATTTTACAGATTTATGAATTTTGACTGTTTTAATCAACTTATGTCCTACTGTCTGCATCAATGGGCTAATGAAGAGGAAAATTGTGTCCTGACGTTTTCGTCTGATGGCTTCTTTAACGTGCACAGCAAAGTGTACCCATAACCTTGGTATGAACGATAACTGCATACCAAAAACTTATTTGAATGTGAAACAAAAAAATAGATGGGCAGAAAGATGCAGGATAATAAACTGTTATATATGGCGATATGCAGTGTTTTAAATCAAACTAACCATATTATTAGAGTAAGCTATGACTAAATCTTCTCCTGATGGTGAAAAACGTAATGTTCGAGGTGGATGATCATATTTTGGCAAATTACATTCAATCTGAAAAATAAACAATCTTACAGAGAAATTAATGTTACATCGATGTTGGTATATGTTCTTGTAACACCTGTGAAAGGATAAGATGTAAGAGTTGCCATACAACTACAGATGAGTACACCCTTATATACTAATTGGTAAAATCACTGGATAATAATTTAAATGACCTAATAATACTTTCTATAAACTATTTCCCAAAAAGCTTTCCAAAAATGTTGGTCTTTCAAATCAACACCAATCCTAACAATTATGTGAAATTCAACATACCAGTACAGAGTAATAATTTCTGACTAAGTATAAATAATAAATGAAATAAAATGAAATGGGGTTTAACGTTCTACTTCAAAGAACTAATAGGGCTAATGGGGAATATGGCATGCAGTGTGCTACGAGGGAAATCTTCCACAGGGTAGTGCTGTTTCCACCTCTTATTTAAAATCTCCAAACGTAAAGTTTTCATTTACATAAACACCAACATGTACACACAGCCTCAGGTTTTCTTTCTCATCTCAACAATTAGAGAGAGAGAGAGAAATGGGGTTTAACGTCCACTCGACACAAACTAGGTCATTTCGGGACTAACACATGGTTTAATTTTATTTCAATAATTCGCTTGCGCGCAAGGGTCTTTAGCAGTGGGAGGAAACCAGAGGACCCGGAGAAAACCCACGAGGTTGAACAGGCGACCCTACTCCTTGTCACGTACAACCGGGGATTTGAAACCACGCCAGTCGACTCAATGAGAGACTTTATGATACAGTGCGTGCACGTTAACCATTCAGCCATCCAACCCCCCCCCCCCTCAACAATTAGACACTGTTCACTGTCAGGCCCTGTACAACTGACAAGTTGAAACCACGGTGGATAATCATGAAGAACTTTCTCCAGTCAACAGCGGGAATGAACCGGAGACCTCTTGGTCAGTGAGCCTCTGAGCCACCACGCCTCCTGTATGAATAAGTATAAACAATAATAAAACTCATATCATTCTTCACAGTCAGTACAAATAAGTATAAATAATAAATAAACTTACTCTATTATTTGTGATATTTAATATAGATATAGTATGATCACCACTAACTACAGCTATACAATTACCAGTTGGACTCATAGTTAACATAGTAATACCATCAGCAAAAACTACAATAAATATTTATCACAAGTTAATATTAAAGACCCGACATGCCAAACTAACATTAGGTAAGATTCGATAAAGATCTGAGTTCTCACTATAATGAAAATGGAATATGCTAAAAATTTCAGTCAAATTGCTTCACTCTGAACCAAGATATCAGCAATTCAATTTTAGTCTAGCCTCGATCATCATTACTAACGTTTGTATGATAAAAACAAAGTCTTGATCATCCATTTTTACATTAAGTTGTCCATCACAAAATATATTCAAATCCACTAAATATCGCTGGCTAACAATGACATCGACAGTTGATTATGGTCTTGATAAGTTAACTAATTTATATAACATTAAAGGCCTGAAGAAAGACCAGCACTAGGCAGATTTAGCTCTTGCATAATGCATGTTTAAGTTATGGCTATTTATAGATTACAGGATTTTAAACCACAATCTTGATGTGTCTAACAGTTTTATTCTGGTTTGTGCTGAACTGCATATTTCGAATTCCAACTATTAAAGGTTCTTCATGTGCACGCCAAAGTGTACATGGTACCTCAGTCGTTCGTACCAGTGCCCTTGCCAAGCACTCCATCCTGCATCATTGACAAGGAGAGACGGTACCGGAAAATCCTGTTTGCCTTATATGTACATATGTATATGTTGAAATACTGTTTCTAATGAGATAACTTGTTCAGTTTTACCATTAAATGTATTAGCAACATGAGCTCTATCTTCATTTATTTCTGTCAACTGAAGGTAACCGGATGCTGTAGCTGTGACTATAAAACGACCGTCCGGGGTAAATTCTAAATGATGAATAGGTACACGAAGATCCTCTCTTGCCATTGTTATTTTAGTTAATTCTACCTTTGGGGTATAGTTTTCCTCATCCTGCAAATAATAAATAGTTTCATCTTTTTAAGATCTATATTACAATGTTTTCAATAAGGTCTGAAATACATCTAAATTGAGATATATATGGCAAGAACATTGAATAACTACAGAATAGCCTACTCTATTATTGTTTTACAAATAATTGTTAGAAAATAGTCTTATAAAATATATGTTTTAAATGTTTAAGCAGTGTATAACTTTGTGTAGTTAGGCCATACAAAAAAATATTCTGATTCTCAGACAATCCTTACTGAAAATCTGATGCAGGGGGGAGGTTTATATTTTTTTTAAATTTTTTTTTTATCAAAGGATTGCTACTGGACTAAATAACTTCTCATAGACATATTTCAAGGCAATACATTTATTTTATCATGTTGTTTAAAGAATTGTTTTTATTATCCAGTATTTTTGAAATTTGTCAGTTACATTTTTCAGGGTTGCGTAGTGGCTGAACGAGACTACGACACATTTCTCGAGTTGTAATGAATGAAACTCTTTTTTTTGGAAATAAAACGTGTTATGCAGCCTTTTTGAAGTGACAGGGCTTTATCTGAAAACCAAAAATTTTTTTTATATGGCCTTAGTTGCATTTCTGTTCTATATAACCTGAAACATAAATCTGTATGGTACAATGATGCAGCGCATCATATCAACAGGGGTTGTGCCCGAAGCGTGATACAATTACTATCCTGGCCTTTAAAATACAGGTAAAGCCTGATTACCTTCTTTTACACCTGAACTTATTAGATATTAGAAAGAACCCTAGCCTATACTGCCTAAAGAACGCAACAGTGTTTTGTTTAATTACATACAACATCCTACTTGATGCACTGTTTTGGTCACAAATCAGACTCGTTCACCATTGCACCGAATCCCTCTGTAATTCAACTGTAATACGTACCACAGATAGTTGATATATTCGTAAATTATGTTCATCACAATAAGCTATATGGTTGCCATTATTAGATATACCACAACATAGTATTGTAGCTTGTCCTTTACATTTTAATTGTAATAGTTTGACAGGATTAGAACGTAATGGTAATATCTCTCCATCTTTCTCTGTAAACATAAAAATATAATCAATCCAAATATTAAAAAATTGTCCACTATTTATTCAGCTGAAACAAACAAATTCTTCAAAAAGTTAAATGTTATATAATCAAGTTGATTACATTTTAGAATTTGTATTTTCCAAAAATTACAAATGACGCACAGAGACAAATAATATCAGTCCAAAAATGGTTAATTCCTTTCAATGGAATGGAAATATTTCATTAATCTATGCTGCTTCGCTATGTAATAAGCCTGTCGCCATTTTGTTGTCCACAAAATTTATTGGTAGACCTGTTTTAAATCTGATTGAATCCAAGCCGGTACATTATCTAGAGTTAGTATTTTGATTTTGTTTTCTTAATTAAACATTAAATAATCAATCTGAGTACATATTAGAGTGTGTTAACCTGTGAGAAGTTTGATATTTTAGCAAAAAAAAATGAAATGGCTCATTGTTACTCTAATAAAACATAAATAAATTAAGTTTTACCTGAAGTAAAATTAGTATGTCCCAATTTCCAAACTTCTAAATAATCTGTATATCTTAACATGACCATTTTCTTTTCTTTAGCAACATGAACAATATTCTGAAATTCAATATCTTTAATTTAAAACCATGACCACAGTAGCATAAAAAGTAGTCACAGTAGGCAAATAACAATTCTTAAACAAGTATGAAATGAGGTTTTAAGCCTTGTTGACACTTCATTTGTCATTTGTCTGATGTGTACATAGTTGGGCCTCACATTTTCATCCAATACCAATGACTGGGTACATGTTCATGTTCCTGGTCAGCCCTAACAAGTGTAAACAGGTCTTGAAAATAACCCATTTATAAATGAAAAATTGATTTATTATATAATGAAAATGATTGATTCTATGAACCTTGTATGATCACAGACATTTATTAAATGCTGCTACATGTAATTAATAAATGCCCAAAAGACGATAGTGTCACTAGTGAAGTGTTCAAATTACTGTTTAGGACATCAGGTGTATGTATACCTGCCTAATGCACGCCACCTCTCTTTAAACTGATTATCTTGTAGACGACAGACAGGTCAGTGTAAAGGGGAATTAGCCGGTTTTGGTGGATATACAAGAAAAAGAAATCCAACTATTTTCTGCTGCATGAAAAGAAATGAGATTTAACATCTTGCTTTTCTGCAGGGACTGGTATATTGAAGACAAGATGTGTGAAAAAGATATCAGCATGAGATAATAAATCATCTCACCCGTGGTATATGAGCTATTCATTTAGATATGGTCTCACCTGTGGTATATGTGTTATTCGTTTAGATATTATCTCACCTGTGACACATGAGCTATTCATTTAGATATTGTCTCACCTGTGGTATACAACCTAATCTCACCTGTAGCATATAAGGGCTATTCGTTTAGATATTGTCTCACCTATGGTAGATGAGCTAATCGCTATGTATTGTCTCACCTGTGGTATATCAGCTATTCTAATTGATATTGACTTTCCTGTATGACCTATTTGTTTAGATATTGTCTCACCTGTGGTATATGAGCTATTCATTTAGATATTGTCTCACCTGTGGTATATGAGCTATTCGTTTTGATATTGTCTCATCCCGTCTTCTCTGTGTTAAACATAGATTAGTTCCTATACCTGACAAAATAAATTATATACATATATATTACCAACTTCTAGGGAACAGTTTAGTTCAAAACTTCTATAAGCTATCACAAAAGTAATTTACAATTAATTTCAAATGTCAGATGTTGAATATATGCCATAAAGCTTTCAATATTATGGAGAAAGCTGGCATTTATTTATATTTTATTCATTATCCAATATCAAAACAGTTTCAAACATGCCAAACTAGAAATACAATCATTTTGTATTCCAGCTGTTATGTTATCTGGGTAAATATGTTACTCCCCGGTCCGAGCTACCCCTATACCCCAAATTTCAGACTTGGGGCAGATGTAGCCGCCAACCCCGAACAGACTTCGCTCGGGGGTCATAACTCCGAAACCGGAAGTGGTAGACTGACGCGACCTGGCCTATGTTACTCCCCGGTCGGAGCTACCCCTTTACCCCAAATTTCAGACTCGGGGCAGACCTAGTGTAGCCGCCAACCCCGAACAGACAGACTTCGCTCGGGGGTCATAACTCCGAAACTGGAAGTGGTAGACTAACGCCACCTGGCCTATGTTACTCCCCGGTCCGAGCTATTCCTATACCCCAAATTTTAGAGTCGGGACAGACCTTGTGTAGCGGCCAAACCCGAACAGACCGGCTTCGCTCGGGGGTCATAACTCCGAAACCGGAAGTGGTAGACTAACGCCACCTAGCCTATGTTACTCCCCGGTCCGAGCTACCCCTATACCCCAAATTTCAGACTCGGGGCAGATGTAGCCGCCAACCACGAACAGACAGACTTCGCACGGGGATCATAATTCCGAAACTCAGACAGACAAACGACAGTCACAAATATATATATAGATTAGAAACCGTGGAACTTTTTCTTTAATAATACAAATATAAAAGCTGCTTATTAGTAAATTCTAATAGATTGAATGTAATTAAATACAATAGGAAATGAAACACATCTCAGACAATAGTAATTTATATTCTCATAGAAATCATTTCAATCTGTAAATGAAGCTGACCATCAAATGTCATAGTAATAATAATATGACCTTACACAATAGATAATAGATAATTTTTCAGTCTAGACATAATATTTATAAACTTGATACAATGTCCAAATGTGATTTGTCAATAAGAAAGTTCATTTAATTATTTGAGAACTTGACAGGATGGAATTACAAATATTATTATTACAATCTGATCAACACCTGAAAGACTTCCACACAGGGCCGTAACTAGTTCAGAGCAACCAGGGGGGCAGGAAGTGTTCTTAGGGGTGCTGTAAAATTGACAGGCAATGTATATGTATGGTCGACTATTTTTTCAGAGGGGGGGGGGATCGAATTAACTTTTATTGTTCTACTAAAAAAGAGAGAGAGAGAAATGGGGTTTAAAGTCCACTCGACACAAACTAGGTCATATGGTTTAATTTTATTTCAATAATTAGCTTGCGCGTAGGGGTCTTTAGCAGTGGGAGGAAACCAGAGGACCTGGAGAAAACCCAGGAGGTTGGACAGGCGACCCTACTCCTTGCCACGTACAACCGGGGATTCGAAACCACGCCAGTTGACTCAATGCCAGGCTTTATGATACAGCACACACGTGCTAACCATTCGGCCATCCAACCTCCGTTTTACTAAAAGGCACTCATCATTAATTATCAACACAACACTCAGTATAATCTGTTGACTATGTATACAACCCTATCACACCAATCATGAAAGTATGTGGCTTCTATACGTGTGCATTATTCTGTACTGTCTGTACAATTGTATAGTTACATAGTGGAGTCGATCATAGCAATGTTTGAAAATAGGGGGGGGGGGGGGAGGGCTCTTTTTCCCGGCGTGCAAAATGACCGATGGGTCAGATCTAGTTATGGTCATTTTCCATAGCCCTACGTCTTGACCGGCATATACGTCCGACATGGAACCCATGGATCGAAACCATGCCACCTGACTCAATGACAGACCTTATGATCTAAAGCTCACCTGCTAGACCACTCAACCCCAAAATTAGGTACTAAAAATGTGACTTACCTGCTGATACTATACAGTTAGGAAGAAAACAGACAGCTCTAACATCATGTTTATGTATATTCTCTGTTGTAGATTGAACCCAATGTTGATTACCGACACCACTTTTAGTTGTTACAAACTCAAATCCTACTAACAATGGATCTACACCTGACGAAAACACACAATCTTCTTCCTACAAAAAATGTCAGTATTAAAAAAAGTGAAAACACACAATATCAGTATTAAAATAAGTGAAAACCCATAATCCTCTTCCCAAAAAAATATCAGTATTAAAATAAGTGAAAACCCATAATCTTCTTCCCCCAAAAATATCAGTATTAAAATAAGCGAAAACACATACATTGTATCAGTATTAAAATCAGTAAAAACCCATAATCTTCTACCAAACAAAATATCAGTATTAAAATAAGTGAAAACACACAATATCTGTATTATAACAAGTGAAAACCCATAATCTTCTTCCAAAAAAAACAAACAAAAAAACATCAGTATTAAATAAAGTGAAAACACAATCTTCTTCTAACAAAAATATCCAGTATTAAAACAAGTGAAAACACACAATCTTCTTACGACAAAAATATTAGTAACCCTATTAAAAAAATGTATCTTATATATATTTTTTCCCTAAAAAGATGATGTAATAAATTCTAATATTGGTACCACCATCAAAAAAAACCAAGAGTATAAAAAATCTCCATAGCTTTGCCAGGCAACGAATATACGCTGACCAGTAATTGAATGGTAATGAAATGAAGTTTAACGTCCTACTGTTCTGCTTCGAACTGGGCTAATGAAGATGGGCATATGTCATACAGTGTGCTATGAGGGAAATTTTGTCCGGACAGCAGCACTAAGGCCTACTCTTATATCGAATTCCAACCGTCAAGGGATCTTTTACATCAATGATTCTCAACCAGTGAGATCTTCCTAAGTGTGCCGCGAAATTTTGAACAGCACACTAAGAAAACGCGAAATACCACTTGATTCCAATTGAGAATTCACTGGTGTCTACTGGTACGTTCATAGCTGTGTTTTTCTTTATTTAGTTTGAGTCATTCTATGTTTCTATGACTAGTCTGTGTCTACGGTTGTATGACATATATTAATTTTGCAAAGTTCAGATATTTTTCATATATATTTAGCCAGGTGTGCCGCTAATTTTTCATGTGTTGCCAAAAAAAGGTTGAGAACCACTGTTTTACATGCACGCCAATGTGTACACAGAATCTCGGTTTTTCGTCCCATCTGAACAACTAGACAGCTGTCCTTGTCAGGCCCTCAGTCCTGCATCACTGACAAGGGGGAACCAAGCCGGAAAATCTGGATGAACTTTTTCGGCCAGTGCAGGGATCAAACACCCGACCTCCAGACTAGTGAGCCAGCGTCTTACCCCGTAATTGAATGGACAAAAGAACATCTCAGTATGTATTTCAATGGAAATGAAATGGGGTTTATTTAACATCCTACTTTTCTGGACTGACTGGGCTAATGAAGACGGATAAAAGCTATAAAGTGTGCTATGAGGGTAATTTTGCCCACACAGCAGCACTATGGACTACTCTTATTTAGAATTCAAACTGTTAAGAGTTCTTTAATCTTCATGCCAATGCATACACAATACCTCATTTTTATGTCCTATCCGAACTACTAGACACTGTTATTAGTCAAGGGGAAACCATGTCAGAAATCTGAAGAAACTTTCTCTTCCAACACTGGGAGCGAACTGGAGTCCTCCTGGCTAGTGAGCCAGCGTCTTACTCATTAAGCCACCACAGGTTCAATGGAGAATGAACTCCATTTCAGGTACGTTTATATTTTAAGGATTCTGCCTAAAATAGAAGCTTGACTCATAATATCAAAAGATGTTCTTCTTTAGGAGTAGCCAAACAATTCCACTTAATTTGAAAACAAAATTAGATAAATAATTGAAACGAATTGTAGACAGGGATACTGACAATATACCCTCATTCGTGAATCATGTGAAAGGGCGTTGATTTTTTTTTTATGATATCAAATGCAAGAGTGACACTCACCTCATTTATTGATAGAGTTAAAACATCTGCTTTATGACTGGAAAAACTCTACAAAGTTAATAAAGGGCTCATATTAAAATATACACAGACAAGAGTACCATTAATAAACATACATATCCTATCACTAAACAACAATATTTAAATAGAGAGAGAGAGAGAGAGGGAGAGAGAGAGAGAGAAATGGGGTCATGTCGGGACTAACACATGGTTCAATTTTTATTTCAATAATTCGCTTGCGTGTAGCGGTATTTATGTTCAAGTGTATTTTATTATAAAAGACCATTATTTACCTTTATCAATGTTCCTTGTCTGCCATTCCAAAAACATGTTTTACCTCTTGAATCTCCACTGATTATAGTCATATTACTGTTAATAGATATATACTAATCAAGGCAAACATATATTTTGTATAGAGTTTGGTTAGACAGGGAAATAAAGATACACAGTAATAAAAACATTTCAATTCCTAACCAGACATGCTATAGATCTATATAAATGACAGGGGGTTAAACATATTCCTGAAGCAATTGCCCAAGAAATTCCTCTTTGGCTATTGCTATATTGAGACCAAAAACTTGAGTTTTTGACGGAGTATGTCTATTTTTCGCATTCAATAAAATCTCTATTAAGTACAGCAACATGAGAGCCTTCTCCTTGATCTGATGTTGTCCCTAAAACTTCGGCAAGTGATTTAATGTATTAAAAAAACGGTGAAAATGTTGTTCGTCTCCATGTGTTTATTGGTCATTATCCATTGTTTACATTGTACGCGTTTTCGATAGCCTCGTTTGTCACACAATTAGTTTTTCTGCAATATTCTGCTATGCACTGGTTAGTGGAGCAGCAAGGTAATAACGTAACGGAATGTAAACATATGTGGAGCTCTGTTTAAACCCGAATGATTTTGTTACACTGTAATGTATTGGTTGTTGATACGACTGCTGACCGGTCATATTTTGGAACAGAAATTGGCGGTGATTACAGCAGTGTCACGTACAACCCGAAATCGAAACCATGCCAGTTAACTCAATGACAGACCTTATGATACAATGTGCTAACCATTCGCCCATCCAACCCCCCTATATAATGTTGAAGTAGCAGTTGCAATTACATGTACTAACATTTGTTTGTTCTTGTGTTTGTAGAGCTTAACATATGCTTTTACCGAAGGTGATGTCGCAGACAATTACAAGCACAAGATCTTTACCATTATGCTACAGTTCCATATATACATGGGAAGAATAATAAGTAGCTGAATATAAAATAATCAAAATAAAAACCTTGTTATTGCTAAACACCATACAATAGTTTCCTGATTTTCCTGTTGATGACCTAGAGTCAACCTCTGTATAGCTTGACCTGATTTCACACTCCATAATCTGATATTATCAACACCTCCAGTTACTATAACACCTTCTTGTGTATGCCATGCTATAGATATTATACGACCTGTAGGAAACAAAATAATGCCATCATAATTCTGTAAAGAGAAGTTAGGACAGAGAGCCTCTTAATGTGTCCTCGTGTTCCTGAATAAAGAACTATCTTAAGTGAACAATTATAATTTGGTACCTGTAGAGAACAAAATATTGTCATCATAACACTAGTCTGAGGAGTAGAGTTACGGTATAAAGACTACTGAGCACCATGATGTGTCCTTGAATAACATGCTATCTTGAATAAACAATTGTAATTTGGTAACTAAATCAGAGTCTACAAAGTCCTAAATAATTGTAATTTGGTAACTAAATCATAGTCTACAAAGTACTAAACAATTGTAATTTGGTAACTACTGGGAATTCTCGTATTTAAGCCCTGGGCTTAGTTTCGAATTTGACCATGTCAGTGATGAAACATTTCTTCTGAAATTAAGCCCAGGGCTTAAATTCGAAAAGTATAATGTACACCAATTCGATGTAACTCCATCAATGTCAACACATGTGGTTTGAAAATTTAAAAGGAAGACCACTCTGAAATGAATTTTTAATTTAAGCCCATGGGCTTAAATTTAAACTCGTTATTGAGGGCTTAATAACAGCAGGGCTTAAATACCAGAATTCCCGGAAAATCATAGTCCACAAAGTCCTAAACAATTGTAATTTGGTAACTAAATCATAGTTGACACAGTCCTAAACAATTGTAATTTGGTAACTAAATCATAGTCTTAAGTCCTAAACAATTGTATTTTGGTACCCGAATAATTCTTAACCATCATCTCATGAAGTTTATCAACAAAAATTAATAATTACTAGAAAACAACCATTTAATTAAATATTTGATGCAATTTCACATAAGTTTTGTTTAAAAATAAATGTGATTTAATGTCTTGTTTAGAAGACTTTAAACATGACATTATCGTAGGAAATAACTATAATAAATACCTTCTTGTTTTCCAAATGATTGTAAATATTTCAATTGACCCATCTCAATATCAAACAAAACAACACAGCCATCTTCTGTTCCAGCCTATAAAAGATCATTCATTTACATTACAACCGTATTTTTTGGACAATGTCTTTTTTTCACAGCTTAAAGCCTCTGATACATACCTGTGTTTAACCATTTGGCCCTGCCCCTCCCACACACCCTAATTTTTCAAAAGATTTAACAAGTATTCAGTGTAATAATCCATGAACAAACTGGTTTTATGTATATCGGTGTAAGAAACAAAGTTTCAGTCGTAGATCAACACTATTTAATATATTGTAAAAGAAAATTTATTCCCTTTGATAGAGTGTACATTATAGGGAAGAATCTTGTCAAAGCACCAACTGAATTTCAGCTGGCATCTGGAATATGTTTATAAAACTTACAGCTAATCTTGTACCAGTGAAATTTTTGGTTAAACACCAAATAGCTCCAGCATTACAAGGCTCGGAATTCTGAAAAATATAAACAACAATTACATAAATACATTATATTAAACCTAGTGGATCCAAAATAACATATATAACAGAATGTGTGATTATTGGAAGGAATACAATATGTACACAGCAGGGCTTTAAAGTTTCTACAATAGTCTACCGGAACAATGTGAAATATGGACAAATAACTGGAGCAGGAATTCTATACATTGACATATGAAGACCACATATAGTTTGATTTTCCGATTGGAAAGACAATATTAGAACGTGAGAGAAAGGAAGTTTAACGTCCCCTCTACACAAAGTAGGTAATTTTGGGACTAAGATATGGTTCAATTATATTTCAATAATCTGCTTGCGTGTAGGGGACCCAGAGAAAACCCACGAGACTAGACAGACGACCCTACTCCTTGTCACGTACAAGTAAGGAATTGAATCTACACCACCTGATTCAATGTTAGACCGTGTGATCTGAGGTGCACACGTTAAACCTTTCGGCAACCCAACACCCCCAATATTAAAGCAACAATTAATTTCTCCTTGTATACGTTAGGTTCTAAACTAAGCAAATCTGAGGTGCACACGTTAAACCTTTCGTCAACCCAACACCCCCAATATTAAAGCAACAATTAATTTCTCCTTGTATACCTTAGGTTCTAAACTAAGCAAATCATGTTCTGTTACATCTCCTCCTAGTCCAGCAGTAAAGAGTCGTTTCCCTTGCCATACAATAGCTTCTACTGACTGTTCACTCCTACCAGAAATTACCTAGAAAATACAAATGATGCAAATTTAGTCAAATTAAAAGTTACATGTATCTTACCTCAAAACTAACAATTTGACAGAGTTTCCCAATCTGGGGCACGCAAAACTGTTTGATTGGTCCATGTTGAAAAACAGGGTCTGTAAAAACAGATAGGCAAGTAAAATTCAGTATGATATTGTTGGTATTCAGACAATGAATTTGAAATGAGCACAGATTTTGTAGCTTTAATGTAAATGTTGCTCTAACGGTCTCCCAACTCCATGGATTATAACTTCAGTCATTTCTGTTGCATATTACCAGATGAAATGAAATGGGTTGAACGTCCTACTTTTCTGCTCCGAACTGGGCCAATGAAGACGGGCATACGCCATACAGTGTGCACTACGGCCTACTCTTATATCGAATTCCACATGTCAAGGGATCTTTTACGTGAACGCCAAAGTGTACACAGGACCTCGGTTTTTCATCCCATCCAAACGACAAGGGGGAACAACACCGGAAAATCTGGATGAACTTTCTCGGCCAATGCTGGGGTAGTACACCCGACCTCCAGACTAGCGAGCCAGCGTCTTACCCACTTAGCCACTGTGACCCCCGATAACCAGATGTAATTCGCAACATAATTATCATTCATAAAACAATGGACTTAAAATGCTACTTAAGCAGATGAATCAATGGTCGCCATTTCCAGATAACAATGAGACAATTCGATACTACCCAGTGCCATTTATGATGTCAATAATATTTATCAGGGTTGTGTACTTGATAAAAGGGTCTACTGGACTTTTCCAAATTCAATGGGAAAGGTTTATGTGGGTTACCCACTTTTTGAAAATAAAAACAGGTCATACAGCCCTTTTTAAGCAATAAAGTGGTATCTGAGAACCAAACTATTCTTTCATATGACCTTATCTTTGAAGGACATAACAAATTGGTGTACATGTATCCTACAAGTACACACAAAATCTAAATAATTTTTAACCAATAACATTGGAAATGTAAATATTTCCACCTTTTCTAGAAGCCAGTCTGATTCAGGCAACCATATTTCAATACTTCCATCAGATCTGTAAAAAAAAATAATCGAAATATACAAAATTTAAAATGAAAGAAAATGAATGAATGATGCTTTTAGTCATCTCTAGAATTACTATGCCATCTTGAAACTGATCGGACAATATTTTTTATTTTTCAAATTCTCCATACCAGTCTTTTATATGGATATTACTGGTAAACTGAAAAATGTGAGTCACTTAGTTGTAGAAGGGGGACAATTCCAAAACCACACATTTAGTTGGCCACTCACTCACTGGGAAAAGACCACTGGCTCTTGTCATTGACACATTTTTTGTTTAAATATTGTGCTATTATTTGTTTACTTTAAATATGTGGGGGATAAGAAAGGCCACTTGAACTTTTTTAATCTGGGGAAGAGGAGGCGGGGGGTGATCGAGCCACCTGTGGAGATAAAAAAAAAGGGGGGGAACTTGAATTTTGTTATTATTTCGGAGTGGGTTCCCAGTTCTTGTTCAGCGAATCAGGGCATACTATAATGTACAAGAAAAGAAGTGGTGCATGGTACCAGTACATGTTTGTTATTTTAAAAATTTAACGGAATCTGTTGTTATTTGTTCAATGAATCGTCCTGTCGTTATACTGATTTACAATACAAATTAGTGCCCAACCATAGAATATTCAATACACACTAATTACCTTGAAACAGCTAACTGTTTATTATTCTTCTCATATGCCAAACAGTGTATAGGTTTAGGCTGATATTCAAAAAATCTAACATGATGAACACGAAATTCACCCATCTCCTTTAATAAATATAAAATAAATTTAAGTCATCAAGAATTCAATTATAGAAGGGCTTGATATTTGTCAAGGGGTGGACAAGAGAGAGAGAGAGAGAGAGAGAGAGAGAGAGAGAGATGGGGTTTAATGTCCACTCGACACAAGCTACATCATGTAGGTCATTTTGGGACTAACATATGGTTCAGTGTTATTTTATTCATTAGTTTGCCCATGGGGATATTTTTAGCAGTGGGAGGAAACTGGAGTACTCAGACTTACTCAGAGAAACCACATCATTTGACTCAACGACAAACTTAATGATGCAACGTGCATGCGTTAACCATTGGGCCACCCCCTCCGTAAAGGGGAGGATGAACATTTCAGGTACAGGATATTCACCACCCGGGTAGAAAGGAGTAATTTGCCACCTCTGTTCATTATTTACAGTAACCCTAACTCTAGAAAACACAACTTTTCACATGTATGCTACTTCCTCCATGTACATAAATTGGTGTTGTTTCTATCTTTTGCTTTGCTGAAAGTGACAAGTTAACTTGTCATCCAAGTAGGAAATATCCTAGAACAATACTTTTGGTATTTAAATCAAATGGTGAACTTTGAAGTACCTTATGGTATTCTAGTATATTCGTCTTCCTGAGTAGACAGCAAGACAGAAATGCTAATTCAAACGATTGCAAGTCAGGCAAGTGAACAATTGTTTTAAGAACCTAGTTGTAAAAGAAACTACAGGACCAGTAGACTCATTTTGCATACCCGGTATGGCACGATCCATAATTTGCTGCTTGCAAATCGTAAAAATAATAAAACAGCAAATTGCAAAATAAACTGAACATGATTTTCTAAATGTGTACTCTGTGTTGTCACATTTACAACTGACAATCTAACATTAGAATTAGACTTTATTGTAATTGGTGCTTCATATTAATATTATTTCATTATAGATGCATCCGACAATATCAGGTGCTTGGCTTTTTATCGACAAACAAACTTTCATTCTGATCTTTCACGTACATCAGAGCCATGGGATGTGTAACATAATCAATTTAGAGAATTTCATTTGACTGCTAATGTCAGCTTAATAGAAGTGAATTTGACTGTACGAGACAGGCACCCTACCACAAATCTATATCGTCGGTGAAGTGTCAAGAGGGTGTATCTCGGAAATGAGTCAAATACACTTTTTTGCATTTTTAAACTCTCCAAATTAATATGCACATTTCTGTCTAAGCTGTGTATCTCTACGCCAATTATTATTAGAACTGTTATGTGGAAGCAGACGTAAAACACCAGGATACTACTACTACTCCAAATGTTGTATCTTGATTTGTGGAAATTTTGAAATGCAAAGGGTTCTATTTATTAATCTTTAGAAATTCTTAGATACACCCTTTTGACACTTCCCCGACGATATATTGACTCCTTGTTGAGTAAAAATAAAAATATTTTTTGTAGGCCTTAGCCTATGCCCTCAGAGTCATTATAATTATTGCTACATTGATTTCGGTGAATCTGCAATGAAAAATAATGAGGTTCTGTGGTGAGGCATTTATCCATACCTTTAACTAAAAATCTCTGGAAAATTTCTGGAAAATATATTAAGCTGTAAACAAAATTATTAACAAAACGTGAGTATTTTCTCTCACATGTTTACTTTCATGGGCGCAGACATATTTCCTTTCCGTGCTGAATGCATTCGTCTGATCTCATTGGTCACAGGAAAATCGGCCAATCGGAATATTGAGCAGAGATTTGGCGGGTGTAAGTCATGTATTGATGTCAACAAACAAGGCAAAACGGTGTGTGAAACATGGTCCAACTTTATGTACAGATGTAAGTTTACATTTTAACAATTGTGTAAACCAATAATGCCAGTTACTAAAATATACCGAACTTCACACAGGCACAAAATGCGCAGGTACAGATCAAACTAAACCAAAAACTTTATCTATTCATCTCCAGCGGAACGGTAAATCGTAGTTATCTCCCTTCACTTTCTTTGGCTTGCCATGCATTTTACCGATAAACCAGTGCCAAAGAAATAAATGGGGTTTAAATTTTAATGCGCGCGTCATACAGTGAGGCATGAGGGAAATTTTGAATGAACAGCGGCACCGCGACGCACTCCTTTTTCGAATTTCAACTGCCAAGAGTTATTTTACGTTCACGCCAAAATATACACGGGATCACGGTTTCTAATTTAATTTATCTGTCATTCTATCCCATCCGAGCGACTAGACTTCACGGCAGCTTGTTTTAGTCACTCACTGAGCCACCGCGGCTCCCAGTGGACCACAGACAAAACACCACTGACATCTTACTGCCCTGTGGAAGAGTAGATCTAAGCGCATCATGACCCCCACCCCCTAAAAAAAGACAAAAAAACATATATGTTATATAAATGATCTGTAAGAAACCCTTGAAAACTCAACAAATCCTGGTTAATATCGGGTTAAACATATTAAGTAAGTCGTGGTTGGAAATGTTTTATGGTTTCTTAGTGATATAGTTACGGTAACCCAATAGATGTAGGCTGTTGGCGCAATCAGGAAGATGTCACCTGATTGAGGAGAAGAATTAACATACTTCTGAAAATTGCACTTTTAATTTATAAATGGTTAAATGGTCGAATTCACCACGAATAGTTCTAAGTATAATTCAACATCATAATAGCCTTGAAATAACACAAACACAGCTTTATGGATAACAATCACTATTATCGTTTACCTTGTGCTTGATAACGGCAGGGGTGGGTGGGGGGATAGCCATTAAGTCATTAAGTCAACTGGCGTGGTTTCTGTTGCCGGTTGTACGTGACAAGGAGTAGGGTTGCCTGTTCAACCTCGTTGGTTTTCTACGCGTTCTCCGGTTTCCTCCCACTGCTAAAGACCCGTATGCGCAAGCGAATTATTGAAATAAAATTGAACCATTATGTTAGTCCCGAAATGATCTAGTTTGTGTCGAGTGAACGTTCCCCCCCCCCCTCTCTCCCTCTGTTTGATAACGGCAAAAAAATTCGTGTCAAAATGTTATACTAATAAAGTTGCTAATGATTGTTGTCCATAAAGCTATGTTTGTGTTATTTCAATGTTATTCCTATCACTGGCCGGAAAGGAAAGGTCCTTTGTATACTAGTCCACACATCCCTCGTGCCACCCGCCTTTCCGTCCACGAAACACTGTTAAGTTGATTTATTATTAGACATATTAGTCCGAAGAGAGTTTGATGGTACGGGGGGGGGGGGGGGGCGTTATGATCTACACGACACAGCATAATAGGATTTTAAGCCCCATTTCATCATGATTTTATTTCGTTACAACCTACGAGTATTTTAATACTAGTCCACACATCCCTCGTGCCACCCGCCTTTCCGTCCACGAAACACTGTTAAGTTGATTTATTATTAGACATATTAGTCCGAAGAGAGTTTGATGGTACGGGGGGGGGGGGGGGCGGGGGCGTTATGATCTACACGACACAGAATAATAGGATTTTAAGCCCCATTTCATCATGATTTTATTTCGTTACAACCTACGAGTATTTTAATATGAGCACTTGACTAGTCCACGTGGGCCTTATGGTTTTTCTTGCTGCAATTTGCACTTCGGTAATTGATCTCTGAGACAAAAACTATATTTATATGTTAAACGTTATGTATAATTTCATAAATATCAGCACTTGTCAGTAATCCGCCCAGGGTTTGATGACAGGAGGCGTTGACCTGTATGTTTATTTATGACATACTTCTGATCTTTTTGCTTTCATTTGAATCTACAAAAAGGGAAAATGATGGGTTTGTGAGACAAAAATTGTATCTTTAAGCGTTTCAGACCATTTCTGAAGTATCAGCGCTTGACAATGATCTGCCCCGGGGTAATATAGACTGACCGCCCACGTATCTCAAGAAGTAATTTGTAAAAGTATAATGTATAACATCATATTCTATACTGTAATAATGTCTGCTTTATTATCTTATAGACCGGGTGACCGTGAAAATTGTCCCGAGTGGGCCATAATTGATCTTCAAGGTGACCTAGAAACCAGAAATCCAGTTCCGTTAAGTGGCAAGTTCATTGGTGATCTTCATTTTACTAAAAAGGTAATCAGTTTTAAAACGTTGCATTGCATGTTTTCAAGCTGTAACCATGGCTAAAGATGATGATCACACTGTAGATGGTTTTGATCGGGTCGTAGTCATGATAATGATGATCATGAAATAATAAGTTTCTAAAGCCAAACATTCAACCAGCCAAGGCAATATAAGCTACGTCTGTGCATGGGAAAATTTAATAACCCAATATTGCATTGTTTCTAGGATGTAAAACCACAGTCCGGTCTAAACTGGATGGTGTCTGCGATATAACAATCTGTTATTTCACTTTTGTAAAACGTCACACTTGTCCGTAAAACAAGGAAGACTTAGCAAAGTTCCGACCAAGTCCATGGTGATGCTATAAATTGTTTGAAAGACACGTGTTTATTTAAACCTTTTTCACTTTAGAAATTAATAGACTGATGTTTAACTCTTTGTACGTAATATTTATATAAATAAGTTGAACGACCGCCCGCATTTATAAGTTATCCTTCCAATTCTAAAAGATAGCATTTTATGGATTCTTGAAATCCTGTTTTTAATATTTTTCTTTTTTTTTAGGATGCTCCAATTTTTATTATTGGTCATCACATTCTTTACGGTAAAATCGTTGAGTTAGAGAAACCATTTGCCGTCTTAAAAAAATGCCAATCCGAACCAGAAAACCAGGAGGCCATGGAAACCAACGTGGAGTCAAATAAAAATCACTATGAAGTGGAAGCATTGATTAGAAAGAAAATATTATTCAAAACTCGACCCAAGCCCATCATTGCTAATGTTCCAAAGAAATTATGATATTTTAAAAGCCATGCAGTGTTTCCGTGCATGTCGTAAAGCTATGTGTTACTAATCTACCGCTTCGCTGTTTTCGACCCTGTTATCCATTTGAAGAAACGTGGACGAAAATCAAACACAGTGAGGCGTAGTGTTGATAAGAATAATAATTATTGTTTTTGCTTTCTGAAATTCTTTTCCATGACATTACCCGCAGGTATTTGTAATACTGAAGAGACCCACAGTTGATAATCTACAATTGGAATTAATATCTACTAAATAACGTCTTTACAAGGCGTGACCGGATTTCTAAGAGAATTGTCCAGACAAGAGACCAAGACATGATGGACGTGAAATATAAGTCTGATGTGTATTATGCAAAGGCACGTTTTATTTTGGTGCCAGACAAATCACTCAAACACGCCAATTAGAGATACTTAGATAGATCAATGAACTAATCGGTTTACTGGGACTTCACACTGGAATTAAATAATAGATTTTTCTAGAATACGTATGTAAAATGATTTAAAGCAGGTCCGTCTGAATGATTTCATACGGCCACATATATTGTCATCTCCGCCACCGCCTGTACGTCCGTCCGTCTTCCTTTGCCGGTTGGTGCGGAAATGTAGGACGTTAAACCCCCATTTCTGTATGTCGGTTAACTCGACAGCTCTGTGCGTTAGTGATGCCTTGGCTCGCTAACCTTGAGTTGCAATCTTCGATCCCTGTTTACACGGAGGAATTTCATAGGGATTTTCCGGCGTGGTGCAGGATGGAGAGTCTGGCAATAAGGAGGAACAACATATAATCATTCAGGGGGGACGGAAACCGAGGTCCCGTGTGCATATTGGCGTGCACGTAAATAAACTCTTGGCAGTTGGAATTCGATATAAGAGTAGACCGCAGTGCAGCTACCCGGGCAAACTTAACCTCAAAGCGCATTGTAAGTCGTATGCCCAGCTTCATTAGGTAGCCCAGTCGCTGTAGATGATAGGTCTGTTATCAAGGAATCCTGGGTGCGGTCGTGATTTTTGTACCTGCGCTCAAACGATCTAGTGAAATAAAAAATGTTTGTCCCGAAATGACTTGATTAATGCACACGCCCATGGGCCCATTCCACATTTCCTGACTACAATATCGTACTGATAAAAAGGTTAACGACACCAACTACATGTACATGTATTATATATATACAGTATTAATTCTATGTTCTTAGTTTTATATAAAGCCTTATATAACAGAACTTAATCCTTAGTAGGGTTCCATGATTTATCTGTAAGTTAAGGTACAGTTAAACTCGACATGTTTGTCGATTATTCATTCCCGTCAATATTTATAGGACGTTTTATTTACTGTCCGAGTAATTGATATATTTTGTAATCATAATAAATAACAAAAGGGTGTATTTATTTCTGGGAAGATGTTGATGCGAATAACATGCACGGGTATAATCGGAATAATTCTGTACTTTCTGAGCTTGATGTAGATGAATAACATGCACTTATGCCAGTGATTCTCAACCAGTGTGCCTCGAGATCTTCCTAAGTGTGCCGCGTAATTTTGAACGGCACACTAAGAAAATGCGAAAAACCACGTGATCCCAATTGAGTATTCACTATTGTTTACTGAAAAGCTGTTTTTTTCTTCGTGTAGTTTGAGTCATGCTGTGTCTATAACTAGTCTCCGTCTACGGTTGTATGACGTCTGACTTACCATATTTTTATTTTGCAAAATTCAAATATTTGTCATAAATATTTAGGCAGGTGTGCCGCAATTTCTTCATGTGTTCCATGGTGTGCCGTTGGCAAAAAAAAAAGGA